TACAATATATTTATAATTATTTTTTATGCTATTTTAATTTAAATCAATAATATTATTTATTTATTGAAAAATATACTAACAATCCTTATATTTTATATTTTTAGATAAGTTTTTAAAAATATTTATAATGATTTACTCTTTAGACCTCTTAATTATAAATATATTTAGTGATTTATAAAACCCAATATTTGGTTGGATTAATTGTTACATTTTTTAATGTTGAATTTTTACTTTTTTTTTGTGTGTAATCACATATTTTTAAATTTATTTATTTTCTTTTTAAAAAATATTCATTTGATAAGTTCTCATCCAAAAAAAATTCTATGCAATGTGCTGCAAAAGGCCTTTTTTATTTATTTTTTGTTCTTCTTAAAATTTGTTCATTTGATAAACACAATTTTGTTGCAAAAGTTTCTTGTTTACTTTCTTCTTAAATTATAAATACATGAAATCTCATTTTTTTTGTTTATTTTTTTTTTAAAGTTTGAAGGTGATATGGATTTTAAGTTCTTAAAAACTTGATCGTACACATATCGATATTTATATTTATAGTAATGCATTTTTATATGAAATGAGTGTTTCGACTTAAACTACAAGTTCGTTATAACATTTAAAATTGAGTCCCTCTGAGTAATTAAAATTCCTAGATCCGTTATTGTCTATATATACATATATAAGTTCACTCAAACCTTATTTGAAGTGCCACTATATATACACAAAATAAAAGTCGATGTCTTTTGAAGATGTTTGTAAAAAATTGCGGGCATTAATCGTTGGCAATTTCATCTTAGAATAGCCTGTTCCACATACCTCGACTTTGTTTATTTATTTGAGCTTTTTGTACGAGATTCGTGTTGTAATTCTTGTCGTTGTTTGATTGAACCGTTTGTCATTCTTCATTCTGTGTTGTTATTTATCATTTTTTTCAAAAGCCAAGTACGTAATCTATAACAATAAAATTCGTATCATTTGAGGACAGGGTGGTTAATAATCATATCACTTATTGATTGACAAAAGTAATTTGATTGACAATTGAATTTGTGCATCGTTTGTTTATTTAATAGGGAAAAATAAATTGCAATATAGGAGAAGGGCGGTTTAGAATATCACAAAAAGTCATAAAAATGTGAACATAAGACCATCACCATCCTAATACAATCTTTATGTGGTCAAAAGAGAGAAGAAAAAAAAAAAAAAAAAAAAGATCTTAATGAGTTTCAAACATTATTTCAAACTTTCCACTTTTTGTCCCTATTAAGAAGCTAAGACTCAGGTTGAACTTTGATTCTCAGTACGCCGTTTGTACCCAAGAAATGGTCTAAAAGTAGGAAAAACTAGTTGTCAACTGCATAAGAATAATATAAGAGAAGCGATTATTTCACATGGAGAATATTGTTGAAAATGATGTTTTATATTTTTTAAAGAGGTATTGTGCAAATGATTAGTGAGAAACACATTAATATTCACCTCATGTGTGGTTGACTTGTAAGATAAAACTTTCCCCTATAGAGAAATTTTAGAAACTAAAAATGTTTTTATTGTGCCTGCTATAAATAGTCCTACTTGCTGTTGATGACTTTTATTTATGGGAACTTGAATTGGTGGTGATTTTGATGAAGGAAGTCAACTAAATATATGAATCGTACCGTCGGGTTGATACGAGACCCGATTGATTTGGAGTTGAACTTGGTCCAATTGAGACAGGGGCGTAGTCAAGATTTTTTTTTTTACTCAAGGTTGTTTAACATTAAGTTGTTGTTTAAATTAAATTATTCGCGAGTACGAAAAGTGGAACTCAACTTGTTCATACACTTCAAAAGGCTAAGCTTGAATATATCTAATCAAGTTTGTTTATCAAATAATAATAACTTCTAAGATGAGATATCCAACTTGGCTTGACTCGAGTATCATCTCTAGCTAGACACCAAGCATAAAAAAATTGAAGTATGAAAATAATTCTTTTAAATATTCAAAACAATTTACATGAAACACAAATTTAAATGAATGAAACTATATTATAAAAATCCAAGGAATGTCAAAACTAAATTATGAAAATCCATAAATCCAATCACAAAATAAATATTTAAGTGAATTCTTGAAGAAACAAATTAAGTAAAATTAAATTATAAAGTAATTGATATATGCCATATGTAACGTATTATAAATTACATAGATAACCAATATTATCTAGAATGAAAATGATTCAATATGATTTAACTAAAATAAAGAAGAAAATAAGAAGAAGAAAAACAACATGTTAAACTCAACAGAAAAGTATATAGAGACTGAAATCATGTCCAAATATACAATTCTTAGTCTATAAAATTTATACTATATTATACCAAATGATTAGTTTTGCATTTAGCAAACAAGCTGTGTGCATAAATACAAACTAAGTATATATATCTAAATATTTAATCAGAATTAAATTCCTATTAACTCTTGATCATTACGTAACATAAGAAATATCCTCATATCTCATCAAAATAAACATTAACCACTTCTTATAAATTTGTAAAATAAAATTAAAATAAACAATTTTATTTATTTATTTATTTTAAAAAAGCTTCAACCTCTTCAGCCTTTGAGAAGTAAAAATTTATTAGTTACTGGGTTTCCTTTCTAAAAACATCGTGAGCTAAATTGGCCGAGACAAATATTTACATGAGGCTGCATAATCAAATAGTAGATGCTAAAATAGATTAAGAAAACATACATGGGGCTAGAGTCCACCCTAGCCCAATGGTGGCTACAAGCATGAGCTAGGACATTCAGATCGGCCACACTCAAAGTGACCCAATCAAAATATGTTGACCAAGTTTTTGAACCGATCAGGTCAACCAAGTTAGATGTTGATCTAACCATTTATTTTTAAAAAAAATAAAATTATATATATATATATATATTTATGCGGTAAATATTTACAACTAGGTACAATATTACTAATACCTTATGTAAATTATCTATTTTCTTAATATTTTTATGTATAACGTTACGGTGAAAATAGAATTTGTTTAATTTTAAAATTTTTCAGTTCAACAATTAATTCGATGACCATGTGATTCAAGTCTTAAAAGTCAGCCCGGACATTGACTAGACCGGTTTTGAAAACCGTGCTTGTAAAGCTAGATGATAGCTAACAATAGTTATGGTCATATTTTGATTGAAGTTAATAAGTGAATTTTATTTTTCATAAATAATATTAATATTACAGATAAAATAATTAGGATTATTGGGAGACAATTATTTTAGTGCAATATTAATAAATACTTGGAATCTTTAATTCATCAACAAACTCTTTTAAAAGTTACTGTCTCATTTGCATTCAAAGTTTGGGTGGCTGATTCTTGAAGGAATCTTTTTATTGATCTGAAGCCATGTTGCATTGTTGCTGGCCATTAGGTACCCACCAAATAACCAAATCCCATTTTTAACTATCCAATAAGGCTGCCATTTTTGTCTATTAAATTTCTCACCTACTACTCTATCCACTGCCTAAGGAATCACACTCATTTAATTTTTCTCACCTTGAATGTTAGTTTATTGTGGACTAACCATTCCATTAAATTACATTAGAAGCTTAATTTTATTATCATATCAAAGTCCATTCTAGAATGTTTACGGTAATTTTCAACTTTATCTCTACTTAATTTATGTATCGGAATATAATTGTATTAGTAAGATTATAACGAGAAAAAAAAAATGATTAATTAATAAATGTAGCGTCAAGGCGGAATATGATCGAACAAAAGGCAACTAGATAGAATATAATTGTAACTATGCTCCAATGTCTATAACTACCAATTAATTTTCTATGTTTTTTTAGTGATCAATATTTTATTATTATTATTATTATTTCTTATTTTGTATTTTTTCATTTTCGGTCGCTTGTTCTTACTTCTTAGTTAATGGGCCAGTTTGCGGCATTTTTATTTGATTTTGTACTGTTCGCTTTACAGGTACTCCTACTCCTTTTCTAGACCAGCAGTTTTTAACGAGTCTTCTTTATCGTAGCTATCAAGTCGGCTAGGGGGCTAGCACTATTTTCCTTTATCTAACTTTCTCCATTATTATAACAAACAAAAAGAACAATAGAAAAATATTCTAATATGAATTATCACCTTTATAAAGACTANGGTCGTCACCATTATGGACTTAAAAATTCTATATTGTATTTTTTCAACTCATATCATATAATAGACTTAATGATAATTTTATTTATTTGATAAATAATAATTTTATTGTTTTTCAGTTAAAATTGATTGTTGGAATATCACTTGTGAGTTGTCCCACATTGATTTTATAGGAAAAATGAGAATAGTATATAAACCTAATGAGCTACTTCTCCCATCACCAATTGGTTTTGAGATGAAACCTCACTATAGTGCCTCTTCTCTCATTTCTAACACTGACAGATCACTTAATTATTATTTATAAATGTAGATAAAATTATTTATATACACAATACGAAGATCAAATCTGTAATTATCAGATTAAATTAACATATCACACATAATAACTAATAACAAATAAAAAAATATTATCAAATTTTTAAAATGTATTTATAATTTAAGTTGAATAAGTGTTATAATTCTAATGATCCTAATATGAATGAATAACATTTCATATGCTCAATAAAATTTACAGAAAAAAACTACGAAACTTTTGATACTCTATTATGCACAACCATGTTAGGCATTACGACAAGACACAAGCAACAAAACAAGCACATTGATTAATCTAATACATGTAAAAAGGATTTGCATAATAAAGTGAAAACCAAAATAAGCATATTGATTAATCTAATACATGTAAAAAAGATCTGCATAATAAAGTGAAAACCAAAAAGTTAGAAAAAGTAATACCCAGAAGTCGCTGAAAGATCACATAAAATCAAAACAATCAGGTTCACAAGTCACAACCATTATGGATCCCATTAACTTATATTCTAAACCTTTTGCAGGAACAAAATACAAAAATCTATGAACACGAAAAAAAAAAAAAAAAAAAAAAAAAAAATGGGATTGCACCAATTATTCTATTTCAAGGGAAATAGTGAAGTTACATAATTCCCTTGTTTATTGCACAGAGAATCTTACTGTCAACACTTGTTTGAAGCCGTCCTGCAGTTCAAAAGCATTGAATTGCCCAAAAACAGTCAAAAATCAAAATGTGTCCGATTGATATTTTGATATCAAGAGAAGAGTATCAAAGAGTGTACCTCATCAAGGTTGTCTTGTTCAACTTTCCAGAATCATCGTGTGAATTTCCATTAGTTAATAATTTATTTCCAGAGGCCAGAGAGTCAGCAATCTCCTTGAGGCCCTGAATAAAGCAATTAAGATGAGATGATTGAGCTATTTCAAAAGAAATATTACACAATTGAACAGAAAAATAAATTCATGATTTTGTCAAGACAAGAACCCCAAAAGGATGACTTAAGATTTGCACTTTTCTACACAACTTTTAGATTTGTCATGACAATAGGCATTATTTATTTCTTTTCCTGACCCTCCTCCCTCAAACCCATGAAAAAGAAAAGAAAATAATACAGATCAAATTTGACCAAATAAATTGCGATGTGTTCAAAATTCTTGCATTGTATTACAATCAATATCGTTATTCACAAAACAACCCTGAGTTTTAGCCTATTTACAAAAGAAAAACGCACATCTAGTAATTTTTTATTTTCAAATACAACAAATTCCTTCTAACATGTGGGTGTCTTACAGAGTGCACTCTCAGTAGGAGGACATTTGTAAGGTAAATACTAAACTAGAAGGCATTTGTTGTAGGTTTAAAACATGTGTTTTCCTTGATATTAGACTAAATCGCAGTTAGTTTGTAATTATTTTAAATAATTATGTGCAAGCTAAAGATCACACGTAATGTGAACTTTAAATCTTGCAAGCATTGACTTGCCCCACATCACATATATCCAAACAATTACTATTCCATACAACATTCTCCATCTTTCACGAACTTGAGACAGTTGGAAAAGAGATGGTTACCATTAGAGCTGGTGTTGAGTTTCCACCAACTTTAAATTGATCCTGCACATCCCATAGAGAACATGCATTAAATGATGGTAAATCAATTATCATTAACAACTAAGTACCTCGAGTGACAACTCTGGTCAATAAAGAAAACTTTATACAGTATGAAATCCCTATACTTGATTGGAATATTCACCGTAAAGAAATAAATAAATAAGAAACAAAAAGATAAATTAGCTAGTCAATCACGAAATGCAATTATAGCCAAACAGAACAGAAAATAAATGAAGTACAAGAGAAAAAACTTGATTAGGGGGACAAGCAGAAAAGGAAAAACAAAAAAGAAGGGCCCAGAAGTAGCACCTAGATTCTTAAAAAAATAAAACAATTTGTGGATTCTTGCAGCATATACATCATTTATGGGAAGGTTGAAAGAAAATGAGTGAAATCTCAAACCTGAAGCATTTCAGGCATCTTGACCTTTCTTCCATTAACAATGTTACAAAGGTACATTACCCCAGCATTCGCAAGCTCCTATAGCAATAAGTAGGGAAGAGTAGACACTACATTAGAGTCACGAGTTAAGATTTTAAACTCCACACAGCAAAACCTCTCTAAAGCTTGAAGAGTTGACAGATGAAGATAGATATGTATGAAGTGTAAATTGTTCCGTTAATATTTCAATTGCAAAACAGCTTTTTCACCTGCTTGCTTTCTAGTGATAGTAGCTTCCCATCCTGCAGATGCAAATTCCAGATCAGATGGCGGAAAGGGAATTAATGTGGTGATATACAACATAGAACTGTAAATACAGTGACAGGTTGTGTATTAAAGAAGAAATTTCCATGCATACTTAAGCGTACATTTTCATTAGCACATCAACACTATGATGCAAGCAAATGGCATCACAGAAATAAGAAGACAAATAAATTTGAGGAAGCAACCTTTTGAGTTGCTTGGATCACAAAAGAAACAATGGAAGTAACAGAATTAGCCTATAGAAGTTTTCTGGGATCTCACATGGAAATTCCAGATCTGAGCTGAAGATCAAAGATTACAATACAAGAATGCTAGTCAAATAAAATATCAAAGTACTTCGTTTACAAATCCCAAGTCTACTGACTTGAAGATTCTTCAACAGCTCTCATTTAGCCATAATGACAATACCAAGTAGAAGTCATCAAATATTTCTTGCATCTAACATCTTTACTTAATAATATAAGTCTGCGATGATTCAAATTCCGTAAGCAATTTCATTCTCCCTTTTTTTCGTTCACTACATCATTTGTCTGTCCCAACCAGACGGATCTCAGTCAACTCATGAATTATCATCAAAACCAATGCATTAGAACATCTGACATATGCACAAACAAACTTTATCACTCATGATGGTAGACTTTACTGTTCATCTCTCATTATATAGGATGTATATCAGCAACTACATTCTCGTTATGTGACTATACAGAGTCATCAAACAGCCTATGCATGGTAGATGAATAATATATAACCTAGACATCCACAATGTAGAGAGGCTTGCAATTGAAGACATTCTTCTAATCATAATATTAAGATAACTATAGCAAGAACAGTAGGAAGTCCTAAAATTGTGAGGTCCCCACGAGGCAACAAGTAAATTTTACATTATTGATTGTTATATACACAGCAAAGATTATATATGAATAATTGTGAAAAACAAATCATATCTAGAGATCAGCTATCTTGAGGTGAATAATGGCACAGGCACAGGCACATACATCAGGACTATGTCAAAAGCAAGTGAAGAACTCATGAGCAAAATGACACATCTAAAACATCTTAGAACCAGTTTTATTAAACTCATCGATTAATAAGAGCTAATAACAGCAATTATTAAACACTGAAATAAATAAATATATAATGAATCACATAGCAGCTTGTTGGATGATATCAGTAAGGGTGACTAAGTTCTTAGATATGAAATGCATCGTGAAATCACCCACCAAACCAGAAACCATCCTCTGCAACTCGTTCAAGTCGAAGTCAATTTGGGAGACATCACCACGAACATCATTAACCTGTTTCACATGTTCAAATTACTGGTAACGACTAATGACCATCTCAAGAACAGCAGCAGTAAAAGGCATTTTCTTCAGAATTATTTCAGTTTAGATTTTAGATCAAATCACATGCTGATTCGCCAGGGAAATTTGTCACTCTACAGAAGAAAAACTGCATCAAGATGAATCTACCTCATTCCGAATTAACCTTGAGATTTCAACTTGTTCGTCGAGTTTACCATCCAAATTCTCTATTCTCTGTGTCAAATGCCGTTTTGTTGCCTGCACAACCATAAATAAACAAACAAACAGAAGTGGAGAACAGATGAGAACATTTAATATCAGCTACATAAAAATCTCATTTATGCTACTATAGCAAAATCAATGAAGTTGTACTGAATATGTAAAATTTCTAGGGCATTGCAAATAAAGTCAAAATGACGAGTGTGGTGAAGAACACAGAGAAAAATATATACCCATAAGAAAAAAAAATCACAATACACAACTATTTTCACTCATCAATAGCAGAAAAAGATCAATAAGAAATCAGCACAAGCAACTTCATTATATAAGCACCGGTCACCACAAGCCATTGTATGAATATACTAAATAGGATGTGCATGTACAAAAATTATGCTGCAATGAGTACGAATCACACAACAATCAGCATTTGCATTCACGTGTAGAAGATACCAAATCCCTTTACGCATATGGTCACTAACAGTCATGAGTAGAAAATATTGATTATGCTAAGACCACAATCAACAAAACTGACATACTTACAGCAAGAGCCTCAGATACATGATCTAAATGCTTTGTCAGGTTTGCAACAGCATTTGCCATGTTTTGCTTTGTTACGTACATCAGGTCTGAAAATGAAAGACCCTGCAATTTAAAGATACAAAATCAAAAGGATATCAAAACAAAAGGATGCGCCAATGAAGTTCCTATGAAAATCCAATTAACCAGTAAATCCCAGTATATGTTCCAAAGCAGCATAATGTTTTCAGAAGGTATAAAATCCTACCTTCCACCACATATATCCATAGCCCAAAGCTCCCAGAGCAGCAGCAGGCATTATTAGAGATGCTAAGTTGCCTGTTACAGGAATCACTTATACAGTTATAAAATGTTTGCATGTCAACACTTAGTGGAAGATTGCCTGCTACAGGAATCACTTATATAGTTATAAAACATTGCTGTTTGCATGTCAACACTTAGTGGAAGATACTAACTTTGGCCTGAATTCCCATGTAGAACTGTAATCTGCCTGTTTGAGGCCAGTTTGCGGAACTCCATTTCTAAACGACGAAGCTGTAAGAAAACAAACCAAAATTCAAATCTTTATAGACCAGACTTTTAGAAATAATTCGGAAAAAATAAAAATAGTGTGATTTTAGGCTTATTCCAATAATTTAAAAAATAATATTTACACAGAAATACAAATTCCAGACATCCTTATAGTAAGATAAAAATGGCGAGCCATTGTTTGGATTTCCATGAAAAAGTTATGGGAAATCTTAGGGAGGTATTTTGTGAGGGCCTAAACATTATATGATTCATGCAACGGTGGGAGACATAATGCAAGTCTAACTGTATTTTGGAAGAAGAGATTAAATTTAGCCGAACTCTTACTAATACAGTATAATGTTCTATGCCGACTAAATCTAATGTCACCTCGACGACAGTCATTCTCAAAGTCAAACTTCAAATTACTCATGACATAGTAAACAAATAAGTTACACAGTTCCCAGAGTGATAACAAATAAATTTAATCTCTCTTATTGGGTATAGTCTAGGTGAAAATATAAACTAATAAATATAGAAAGGATTACTGCTACAATATTAAACCAATTTGATTACCAGTCGAGATTTTCATACCTGGCTAGCAACAGCATCAGAGTCTCCATCCAATTCCCCATTTTTGTCTGCGCCTTTAAGCAAATTCTGCATAATATATGACTTATTTAACACACAGTTTCAGAAATTAATACACATGCACACTTCATTAAATTCCATCTCAGCACAATGAACCTTCAGTTCGACAAACATAATTTGAAAAGGAGAAGGCATCCACTGTCAGCTATAGATCAGAAACATATAATATATCTTCACTTCACTGTCCTTCAAAACAAGGTGAGACCATATTACACAATCATCTCACCTGGGAACCACTTATTTTCCCCAAAACATCCAGTATACACTGAATTTTTCATCACTACTTTCATAACGAAGACAGGAAAAACGTTAACGACCATCAAATACACTTATAATAAAAAGTAAACTCATCACAAAAGAGAAAAAAAACAAAAATGAAGCTAAAGCAATCAATACACAGCTAATAAGCAGGCAATTCAGCTGTAAGAGAAAGAAAAACGTGAAAAAATCAGTACCTGCAGCTCACCCAACACATCCGATAATTTACCGTTCTTAACCAGTATAGTTCCAGTATAACCTAATCCACATAAAAAAGAAAAGCGAAAAACTTACTTCTGCTCAGATAAAAGTGTTAGTAATAATAAGAAAAAGCATATCGATATATACATATAAATATACATGTGGGTAATCATACTTGCTCCCACTATGAAGATAATCCTCGATAATCCTAATTGCATAGCCATGGCGGATGAAAAACGAAGTTTGAAGCCTGAAGCCCTAATGATCAGATCTCTCCGTAGTACACCGTCACAGAGCTATTGTCAATCTATGGAAATTTACAATTTACAATTTTTTGTTTTTGTATTTTTGTATTCTTTTCTTTTTGTACTTTTTTTTTTTTATTTCCTCTTTTTCCTTCATGTTTTTTATTTTTTAACCCGATTAAAAAAAATATTTAAGTGGATAAAAACAAAAAAAAAATACATGTTGACAAAAATAAAAACCACATATTTTGATAATACATTTTACATTGTAAAACGTATTCTCGAAATACGTTTTACAGTCAATTAAATTAATTTATGTGATTTAATAAACTTGAAACGGATTGTAGAAATACGTTTTATAATTAAAATTATTTCAAAAGTATTTATAAAACACGTTTTGTAAATAAAATAAATTTAGAATTTATTTATTGTAGAAAATAAAATTTAAGAAATTTAAAAATGCATTCTCAAAATGCGTTTTATAAATAAAATTAATTTTATAATTTATTATTGTAGAAAATAGTTTTTTTTAAAATAAAATGTAGTTTGATAATACGCTTCATTTTGCCCTAAAATCAATTTTGCCCTAGAAAAACGTATCTTGAAAATATGTTTTATCTAAGACGTATTTTAAAAATACGTTTCATTTTGTCCTAAAATCAATTTTGCCCTAAAATTAGCCCTAAACCGTATTCCCAGAATACGTTTTCATATAAAAAATATAAATATAAAACGAATTTCGCGAATATGTTTTACTGTACAGAAAAAATAAAAAACACACCGTTTGTCAGGATTCATTCGACAACCAAATATCAATTCGACAAAGTAATATCAATCCATTCGTCAAATAATAATCTAATATATACATACACTATATACAAAAAGGTGAACCGCAATAATTTATTCAACAACTAAATATGTCAAAATATCAGTACACAGAATCCAAGAAAAAAAAAACAAATATGTCCACAAAATTCCCCGAATACAACACAAAATAACTAGGAGTGTATGGAATATGGATCCCTAGGTTTGCGCTATCGGGAGCCCATCCAACGCCCTGGTCGTGAAGTAGACGAGGCTGTGCAACTTCTTCTTTTTTCACTTGAGTAATTAATTTTTTTAGAAAATCACAAATTCGACTAGACAATAAATAAATAAATAAATTATTTTTTTGTTAAGTAAAAAATTATAACCTTCTTCTTCTTCCTCAGACCTGGTGTTGGCAGCGGGTTCGCGGTCACGGTGTCTTCTACCTCCACCAATGTTGGCAGCGGGTTGATGTCTCGCCTGGTGTGACTGTATCCTCTGGGATGGGACGTAGTTCTCCTGAGATAGAACTTAACTGAACGACGCCCCTTGTGTGACCTCTTGGCTTCCAACAGTCAGAGAAGTGTAGGCGAAATTATGGACTGTTGGATTGCGGTCTGTGCCCGTGGAGAGAGTGTATGAAATATGTCTTGAATACTCGCTAACGAGTTATAAACCCCCTTCAGGGCTTGAGTCTGAAAATTAAATTCAAAGTAATTAGTATGAAACACCAATAATAATAATAATAATAATAATAATAATAATAATAAACCGCAAATTATGAACACTTACATCGCACTTCTCCCACTCAGCAACTGGCTGATAGTCGTCGTCCTGTTGGACCACCATGTACTTGTTAGGGTCATTGATTAGTCTCACAGTCGTACTGTGAAACCAATCAATGTAACACTCCTCAGACAGTAGGAAGTGATCCACATGTTCATTTGGAAGGGCATTTTGGTCTCTTTCTTCGGCCCAAGCCTTCCCAAGCTGTGAATGAAAAGCGGTCCAATCACAAAATGCCCTCTCAGTCATTCGTTGGCCTCCGTGGTGTCTGTCTCATTCGGCCTCACCCCTAATCATCGGAGTTTGGGGGATGGACTGCTGACACCCAAACTGACGGAGAACTCTATCAGGCAAGTGGAGTTCACGTATGTTCCAACAGAAGATTTACCCCCTATACATCCAAAAACGTGAATCTTCTGTACACTGGTCCGGGAGAGTACCAGTCTCCAGGTACTGCTCATATGGCACCCAATCGAACCGTTAAAAAAAAAAAATTAAATTAGGAATTAAGTTATAAAAAAATTAAAAACAAAAAACAAAGATAAATTAATCAATAGAACTTAATAATCTTACATTCGTCTCTCTCAGCCTTGTCAATTGATCCCGGACAGCAGTCGTTCCTTTACCTACGTGTTTCATGTCCCTCCATCCCACCCACCTTAAAAATCACAGAGAAAAACACTTTGTAATCACAAAACTTGATAATGGAAATAACCTAAGTATTAAATATAAACAAATGTGATTACCTTGCACCTAAGGGACAACCAGGCTGAGAATCAAAGTTCGTCAACCTCATTTTTGGGCGAAGACGAGGGATAAGTTCCCATGCCTAAACCTACACATATCGACATATGCATTTGTTATTAGATATTAGTCTAAATTAGAATAAAAAAAATGAATTTTCAAATAACAAGTAAATACCGGCGGTTACATTTTTGTGGTCATTTTTCTCGGCCGATTGCACACAACTGTATCTATCTCAGTCCATTCCGTTAATACCCACATTTCATGAACAAGGTTGTCAAAACCGGACCGGTCATCGAACCGGTGAAGCTACCGGTTCAATGGTTCATTGGTCGGACCAGTGGTCGAACCGGTCGAACCGGTTTTATTAATATATAATTTATTTATTTATTTTATATGCATAATATATATATGTATATATTTTTATCATTAATTTTATAGCATATAATGACATTTTTCTAAATAAGAGTTCAATAATCATATCCTATTTGTAATTACCATAAGTTTGTAATTTGTATTTTAATTTTAATTTTCTTTTCAGTTTTAATTATGTAAATAATAAAAAATTAAAAATCAATCTTAAGCTTTGACTTTAATTTCTTAACACGGAAGTGGAATTTTTGGGGCCTAGGATTTCAAAATCAAAAAATTCATAGTACAAAAATGAGACTAATGTAGGGAATCGAACATAGCACTGTACATTAAAGAAAACATACATGCCTCGCCACTACGCCAGAAGCACTTCATTGTCTTTTAGAGAGAGACTAATGTATTTGTACACAAAACACCCAAAATTTGAAAACCGCCAGACCGGTTGAACCGCTACCGGTTTTCCGGTTTTATCGGTTTTTAACCAGTTTTTGAGCCCAGCGGCTCAATACTCCAAACCGGACCGGTGTGATGGCCGGTTCCCGGTCGAACCGGCCGGTCGGGTCCGGTTTTGACAACCTTGTTCATGAACCCGTTTGCACTTAGTCACCCGAGCCCTCCACATACAAGGTTCATCTTCATTAAATCTGCACACCACTTTGAATGACTTTTTTTTCGAATCTTTCGTCCGAACCGCCTTCAACCTATCAACGTTCCAAGCCAAGATACTCGTTTGTGCTTCTTCCTTGCTCCTACAAATTGCACCCAGACCTATAGTCTCAATGTACCCATTCCAAACTGGAAGAGCAAACTCGTTCTCATCTATCTTCAACGGCTGCCATTCACCCATCTCGCGATATATGTGGCAACCACCACTAGGAAAGGGTGTTCTTTTTCAATCAACTCGGATTCACTCTCCTCATTTACCGATCTATCTGATTCGCTTTCTGAGGTCTCATCTGTGAAATCATCTTTACCAGGAATGAAATATTCATCACTTTCTTCCTCGTTCTCATTTTTCTGTTCTCTCATTGTTGACCTTGTCCCTTCTCTAAAATTACGTAGATGCGAAGTCGACGTACCCTCAACATCAACCATTATGCCGTAACAAGGTGTAACATCCTCAACCTGTGTAACCGGTGTAATTGCCTCTAACGAAAGATGCAAATACACAATGGACATAGGAAGAAAGTAATAAATCCACTGAAGAGCACTATCGTTATTGAGTCTTCCGGCATTCCATGAACCATCGTGTTGGCTAACTATTAAAGTAATCTCCTCAATTTTCCAACCTTCTCCAACCCACCATTTTCATAAATCATCTCTACCAATCGTTCATATAATCATAACAAATGAACCACCCTGATGATCTTTAAATAAAACAAAATCGCTTAACATATTCTTCGCAAAATGCCAATATACAAATTAACAAAGTATGGACCGCAAATCGCCATTTATAACTGTTGCAAAAAAACACTTTCAATTCTTCCCAATTACAACAACACATAATGTCTAATCCAACACCCAAAAAATTGAATTATTCTTTTACCATTCTAAATTTAAAACTCATTTCCAACAACAACATATAATTAATAATTTTTTCTCCAACCAAAGTAAATATTCCCAATTAATACTACAACCAAAAAAAATATTCTCAATTTTTTATCAAATAATCTTCCGAGACCCTAATACCCATAATCCAATAATAACATAGAATTCATCTATATTTTGGATAACTTTTCAACATACACCAAAAACTCATCATCCAAGAACAAAGTATAATCATTTAATACAACTATTAAATCAACAATCAATCTTTTCTAAACAATACTCATTAACCTAACATAATTTCTTACACATTCATAAACAACAAAAAAAATGTGATTACTTTACATTAAAATAACAACTAACCTCTTCTCCGTACCGATTAAGGGTTGAAACCTTTTTTTTTTTAAGGTGAATCAAAGAAAAATCGGAGATGAAGAAAGCAGAAGCAGACGAAGGAAACATAAGCAGAAGTAGAAGAAAAATCGGCTCTCGTGAATCCCAATCTGATTTGCATATTTATAATTCTTTAATAAACGTATTCTCATAATACATTTTTTGATAAATATTATTTGTTAAACGTATTCTAAGAATACGGTTTAATAGATTTTTTTTTAACTAAATTATAGAAATATAAAACGTATTTCAAACATACGTTTTATATTCCATAAAATTGATTTAGGGTTTTAAAAAAACGTATTACCAAAATACGGTTTATAATTTATTATTTTTTAATAGATTATCTTTTTCTTTAATTAAATTATAGAAATATAAAACGTATTTCATATTCCATAAAAAATCATAAAATTGAT